TCATATTCCATTCTTTCATTGCATTTCAAGATGCGAACAACATGTGATGGAGACACACATTGAGCCGTGGATTAATAAAAGCCATGCCAGTCTCCCCCATCCTCTCCCGTGCATGAATTGAGGGAACCACCTTTTCAAAATCTGACCCTGAAAATTCTGACGACCTTGAATGCAGTAACTCACTGTAAATGAACTTTGATGAATACTCATCAAATTAAATATTAAAGACCAATTTTAATATCATTCTGCAATTACTACACAAATAATATAATCATTACAAGAGAAAGGTGAAACGACTACTCACTAAACATGGAGAAAAACCCACAAAGCATTATTAACACAAAACAAATCTACTAAGTAATTTTGTTTTACAAAAATACAATAATATAAATGCACAACACTCAGCTTCATTTTTTTTACAATGCGCTGAGAATCCTCTCCTAGGATCTTCTAGACCCTTGTTGTTCTGCTGAGTAATCTCATTAAAATATGCCTCTCAAATCTCCCAAAAATTTCTAATTAAATGCCCTAATTCTCTGTTATAAAAAATTGTACTATTCTCTCATTATTCTCTCCAAAAATCCTCCTCCCCATCTCCTTAAAGAATTGTTGTTAACCTGTAAATAACTCCCCACTTTATGGGGAGAACTGCTGAAAGACTGCCCAACAAATGTTGGTTCCTACGCGTCACTAGACTAGTGCCTACGCGTTAGCCTCATTGTCTGCTCGGTTGTGCAATGTTGCCTAAGTGCCCAAGTAAGTGGTGCCTAGGCGTTGGTCCTTTGAATCATTAATTGCTCCAAATCAGCTATTCTTTACTCCATTTCTTCTCCACTTAATTCCACTTCTACTACTTGTTGTATCTGCAAGAAAAACCTAAAAATACTCTTCTTTAATGTGAAATTTCATTTATAAAAATGTGCAAAATAGAAATGAAATTAAGCTTGTTTTTCTACACATCTAAACCTCAAGGTAATTGACGTCGAAGAGCTCAGAAGAGTAATGAGGAACCATTGCACAAGAAGGGCAAAAGTAAATAAAAAGAGAAGGAAGTTACGAGAGAAGCTCATCCGCCTGACCCGTTGATTTATAATAACACACAGAAGGCGGAGGGTTCCCATACCGTAATAAGATCTGCTGGAGAATTTGCCTAGTTGAGCAGTAGACCTCTTCCTCTCTGAAGGCCTTCACCCTAGGCCTCTTTCAACTTTAGGCGAAGCCGCCTCAACCCTCCTCTCTTCTGTATCGTCTGACCATCTCCAGAGATCCTCATTCATACCTCTTGAAGCACTGAGCCACAAAACTCTATTAATCACATCTCTACTCCTAAATTGAGGGACGAAGAGCTCCCTCCCATCAAGCATATCAGAATAAATGTGAACATTATCAAATAACACTCTCAACCTCACTATCACCTTGGCGGAGTGACGAACAACAACTCCACATGGACGACCAAGTAATCTCCTTAGTCACTGGCTGACTTCTCCCCTTTGGTAGTAGTATGATGTACAACATCCGACCAAGAAGCAAACGGGTTCAGTAAAGCCACTAGTTGCCCCTCGGAGATAAGTGATGAAACCCCAGGAGAACTAACACTAAAGAGCTTGGAAGAGTATCGGGGAGCCATTGCTCGAGAAAGGGCAAAAATAAATAAAAAGAGAGGGGAGTTTTGCAAGAAGCTCATGCACTCTACCCTTTGCTTTATAATAATACACAAAAACCGAAACACCGCTAGGGCAGTGTAGCAGCACCATTATTATAAAGCTCATAAAAAGTGTCAAATCAAACACGCGTGCCATGGTACTAATATACATAGAAAAAAAATAGATAAATAATTTAGTAAATAGAACACATATTAGCTTACCAATTAGTGGAACATATCTGACTGCGTATAACATGGTATTCCACAATAAAAAATTTCATAACACTATCAGTTCTGGCTTGAGCCAGAGAATACCCCAACTGAGCTAACTGCTTAAACGTTAGCAAAAAACCTATACTAACAAAATCTATCTTACTCATCTCGAGTAATGAACGAGAAGCTGAAATATTTTCGTGGAAGGCTGTAAATTTTGGCTCTTACTGAATTCCGCTCGCCTTGAAGGCTGCCTTAAGAGCCCGAGAAGCACTTATTTCCTCTCCCCGTCGCTCGGAGCATGGGTCGCCAATATTATCATACACACCAGCCAATGGAACCTCAAGACTATGAGGACAGTGTTCAATCAAGCAAGATGACCCAGGGCCCTCCGACACCTGCAAGAATTTAGTTTCTTGACGCTTCAGGTCACTCCCAACAACCTTCCCAGAATGGCGCAAACCCTCAGCAGGATCAAGACCATCCACTACACCAAAGAGAAACACATTCCTATCAAGAGAGATTTTAAGTTTCTCCCTTTCACTGGGAGGTAGTTTCGTCATTTGATCCGAGTATGAGGTAGCAAGAGAATGAACCTTACTCCCCACCTCTGACGGGAAAGCCACAAGGAAACATCTACCACATTGAACCTCTGAGCTCCTCCATGAATGTCAGCCACCTGTTTCCCTAGTGGCGGCAGTATGAAAGAAGACTCGCTATCTCATCCTCCCCTAACTCAGGATGAGCAGAGAAACGAACAGCTCTACCCAATAGATCAATCGACCTCACAACATTTCTCTCCAGCCACACAACGCTTCTTCATGGGATAACCGCCTTCAATCCTCACGGCCCACCCACAAATTAAGTGTTATTCGAATTGGAAGAGTCCTCTCTAATCACCAGATCTAAAGACTTCATTCCAATAAAAATGCACCCATCCAAACGACTAATCTCTAGGGCAGATCTTGTTATGTCTTTCATTGATCAGATGAACAATGCTTGACTTTCCCCATCAATGGATGCAGTTGATCTCCCGCTCTCAATCTTGAACCTCACTGGTAAAAATACAAGACAAGCCTCAAAGGATATCTTAAAGATAAGTTCCGGGGCTCCATTTATAATAAACCCTCAACAAAAAAAAGAAAGGAGAGATGAATTACTGTACATTAATAGTTATGAATGTAATTAAATTGTTTTAAAAGATTCCCTTGTTCTAATCAAAATAGTTACCATCAAGGAGCAAGAGAATCGAAGAACTTCAATATGTACATCAGAAACAATGTTGACATGAATCGTAAAAATGATATGTGGACTGTCGACAGGTGTGTAGCTCACAACTATTTTTCAAGGAAAATTTCAGGTCTCATAATCAGTTGACAACATCCAACCTGCCCGGATGGACGATATATTTCTGGGAGATTCAGGAGGGGTATTGCCCGAATAAATTCACAAAGATCATGGTCACTAATCCGAATCGATGGTATCCCAGCCTATAATCTGCATAGTCCCACATCCGCTCAGCCTCACAGCTGTCCAGCCAGATCGTAACATTTCTGCATGGCTTCCCGGTAACACCGGCTATTGCCACCCGGCCTGGAGCTGGGTATTGGTGGTAGTGGATCCCACATATTGTATACGTGAGGTGACTAAAAAGCCCTCAACTTGTCCTAAAGCCTTAGGGCCTCAAGATATAATTGTTCAACAGTGTGTTCCTATAAATAGAGGGTGTTTCATAAGTAAAGGGCATATTGGCACGGTTCATAAAAAGAGGGGTGTGAGGGATTCTATTCTCTTTTCTCATCTAACACATTATTCTTTAGGCATGTCTTCCAAATAGATTTGGATCCAACGACTGCAGAGATATTTCTTATGTTATTTGGAGGCTATGATTGCAACGAAAATTATTGTAGAAGATTTCCTAGATATTGGGAACTAGATAGAAAGCAAACTCAAATATCAAGAGCAAAAAACAATATAATAAAAGTAGTAATGAAACTTAGCAAATTCAAATGCAAAAATTTTTATTAGGTTCACCAAATTAAATGCCATGTCTTATTGCCAGGTATAATAGATTTCATTATATTTTCATTGTGGAGAAGTACATCACATTTTAAAAAAAAAGCACTGCTTAAAATAAAAAAAATATATAATTTAAATCTCTTGAATATATTAGTATGTAAATATTAGTTGTTTTTTCAAAGGTGGACTCACATAAGTTCTAGAGGGCAATTGCTCTCCCACAAATTTAGATTTTTACTTACATTTGAAAGCAATTTGGTCTTTTTCCCATCCGAAAAAATCATTTTTGCCCCTGCTGAAGTATCAGTTTATCTTTCGTTGCCCTAGCTCCTCTCGTGTTTAGGATAAGAGAGCAGCTTTGCCTACCTTAAGAAAAAGACTGGTTCTACCACTGATTTTGTTTGTCTTTATCCTTTGACCTCGAACAAAAATGATATCTAGAGTGGATTATTTTCTTACATGGAAATAAGATTTTGCTCCACAAAATAGCATTAAGATGTTCTCATTCTATTTGTAAAATTTATAAAATATCTTTACCTATTTGAATTTGGTAAATCATTTTGAAGATTAACATAGGTGGATAAAGCGGAATATCCAAATCAGTTCAAGAATTTTAAATGCTCGTTTTGCTTTGCAGGTTGAACATAAATTTTGCACAGCTATATATATCCGTTAAATGAGACAATGATTTTATTCTTTATTTTTATTTTTATTTTGTGATAAAAACTGGTACGAATCATGGAGAACCAAATAATTTCTAGCTCTTTTTCCAAATTTAGGAGTTAATGCCGTTTCTTACACTGATTAATGATTAACTCAAATATTTCTTGAGAAAACTCGATTAGCTATTGGGGTTTAGTGAGTTGTCGCCATTAAAGATTAATTTCCCTGACCTCTAATAAAAACATTTTATGAAATACCTTCCATCCCGGATGGCGTAACATCATTTTGATTTTATGCTCGATTAACATTATTTTCTGTGATTGAATGTGAACTTTTAAATTTCTTAGTTTAACGATTTAACATTTTCTATTTGAGTAAAATTTAATTTAGTACCGAGTGCTGCCATCCTTTATCGAGTTTTTATTTCACAATCCGCTGTAATCATCAAATTCCTTGTTTGCAGCCTTCCTGGCGACTTTGGTTTCGATCCACTTGGCCTTGGTATGTTTCTTAATCCATCTTAATTTCTATACAGTATTAAATATTAGAATTAGAATTTGAAATTGGTTCATCTTAGAGCCTATGGCTTATATCACATAATTAAAAATATATTAATGCGCAAATACTAAGGGGGTCATTTGAGATCACTTTATATTTTTAAATTAGGGCATTTACGAACATAATCCACAACACTTGTCTTTATATGTCTTACCCTTAAACTTTATTATTTAAACATATAACACTCGAATCTTTAATATTACATTAGAAGCAACTGTACCACCACTTCTTAAAAGTGAATTACACTATTTCATGCATATATTTAAAGCAGCAAAATCTTATGTATGTAAGTATGAATTTTTTTCAATGAGATATGTAAATATATTATTGTGCTAAGTATGTAAATTTTCCTATTGTACACCAAAAATATGACCACACGAATCTCGAGAAAATTCAAAAGATCTAGTTTATGAACACCAAAGACACTTTATCGACATAGTCAAACGATGAAAATACCAATTGTCACTTCCTTTGGTCGGAACCCTGAGACGACCAAACGGAAGCACAATTGAACGAATGAATAAAAGGCAATTAATCCGAGGAACTATCGATCGTGACCATCTCCCTTTGTTGATTCTGTAATTCTTCACAAAAATGGCTAGAGGGCACCCCACAAAGCACCTTCTTGATTCTTTGAGAAGGGTCCTTGTATAAGGAGAACTGCCCATCATATGTAGAAGAGCCTCTACTCAGGATTTCATTGAGACGACCGATGATGACCTATCAGAAGAAGAAGGTATCCCAATCGACCGAAGGTTTTCAATAGAATGACAAGATTAACGAGTCATTAAATGCCCCTCTTCAAGTAGTTATAGACACGAAACAATACCAATGTCGGCTACGTATATGAAAGTATCTCAGCGTTAGTTATAAATATGAAACTTAGTAATAAAGACTTGTAGCATCTTTAATAAAATAAGGATATACTTGAAATTTTACTATATGCCCCTAAAATCTATAAAAAGGGGGATCATTTATCTAATAAATGACTAGTGTGTTAACTCTCTCAAAACTTATATTCATGTGTTCCTAATCTCTCTCTCCCCCCTCTTTTTTCTCTCTATTTTTCTCATTTGTCCAATGCTCTATACCTTGGTTGTGATCCATAAAGTTTATTTGGATTCAATATTACAAAAACTGTGGTGAGTGTGGAATCATGTCATCAACAAGAAGAGAAGCATGTCATAGAGAAAGAACTCATTTGACACACATCTAAAAATAGAGGATGTATGAGAATTTGTGCAATAAAAACTAAAGAACTTTGAGATCAAATGACAGGTTAGATGGCGAAATTAACCTGCATGTTACTCGAGGGAAGAGCACAAACTCCCTAAGAACAGAACCCTCGAAAAGAACCCGAACTCCAAGGCTACCGAATGGCTCATGGGGCAGAAAGAACGGAAGATTCCCATTACCAAGATAATGGTTGGACTACACCGAGGGTCAAGCCATGATTATGGGAAATGGAGGTCTACCGTCAACTATGGATGTGTTCTCCAAGTAGATAATTGTTGTTGAGCCACCGGGAAAGTTCAAACTTTCATCTTTGGAATCTTACAAGGATCAAAGTTATCTGACCGACCACATAGTTTCCTTTGAGTCAGCCGTCTATGTTTGCAAAATCCTTTATGCACTAAGATGTCAGGCATTCTACACCACTCTGAGGGATTCAGCCCTTCAGTGAATTTAAGAAGATGTTGATGAAACAATTTGCTAGATCCCAAAAGCTTCTTAAAAACTCACAGGCATTGTGACACGTCAAGCAAGGATCAAATGAGAACCTTTGTTCGTATGTCTCTCAGTTCCAGAAAGAAATACTGGATGTACGAGGTTTGGAGCCCGCGATAGTACAACCACCTAGTTCTAAGGGCTAATAAGCAAATGATTCAAATATTTTCTTGGTAGATGATAATCCAATGACCTAGCTGAACTCTTGGAGTTAGCCAACCATAACATTAATGCTGAAGTGTATGTTCACTCGCTCTATCGGAAAGGTGAACAATTCGACTGCCACTTTCAGAAGAGGGCCTCTTTAGATGATGGATGGAGGTTGAAGGATGATCCGTGACCTAAACGTGAAGATAGTCGGCCACCTCGTGACAATTGAGAGGTTGAAAAATGTATTGAAGCAGACATAGCTGGTCAAACAACCAATCATCGAGCAATCAAAAAACACAAAAACCCACTCAGTTGAGTATTTAAATGATGGAGTTAGTGGAGGCCATACAAGATAATGAGTACTTAAAAAATGCTCCACTTATGAGAACTAGAGCAAGATCTATAAATTCCAAAAGGACCACGAAAACCACATAGAGGAGTTCAAATACCTCAAAAATACGATTGACGAGTTAATCTAAGTTGGAAATCTCATGGAGTTCATTCTCCCAGAGGAGTTGACCCAATGACAGGGAAATCCCCAATAAATGTTGACTTTAAGGAACCTATATGAGCCACTTATATCCAAGTTGCAAGGATTGTGCCAGCCATATTATTAGGAGACTCAGCCAGGTAGGGAAATCATATGAGGCTCCAAATGAGGGAACTTTATGATGTCACTTTTGCTTTGAACTTGAAGCCTCAACCCTCGATTGTTTTCACTGACACAGATTTTCCTGCGAAGGGGAATCCGTACATTGATGCCATTGTGGTCACGCCAATGATAAACAATTACTCGATGGATAGTATTTTAGTTGACACTGATAATTTTTAGAATATCATGTTAAAGCCAATCATTGATAAGATGCATTTATCAGGTAACTGATTGGCGCAACTGACTGGCCCACTTTATGATTTTTCTGGAGAGCAAAAAGAAGCTCTGAGCATAATAAGGCTATCTATGTTTGAGGGGAAGGTGACAACCAATTCACCAACATGCAGGACTTCCTAGTGGTTAACGCACCACCATCTTATAATGTTATCTTCAGTCACCCACAACTCATTAATTTTAAAGCTGTGGTCTCCACATACCACGTTGCGGTAAAGTTTTCATATGAGTTGAGATAGTTACCATTTAAGGCAACATGAAGCAGTCTCGAACATTCTACCTCCGAACGGATGATATTGTGGAACATGAATCATTCAACATTTGGAAGTAGTTAGAGGGGGTTTCAAAAATAACAAAAAAAATTATAGAGATTTCTTTCATCGACTGAGCGACATTTACATTTTTCCTAAGTTGTGAAGTTGTTGATGCTTGACACAGAAATTGGTTGATTCAATCTCCTCCAGAGCATCAGGATGCTTTTTTCCTCATCAAATATTAAATGTTCATCATTCTTATCTACATAGTGTGCCACAGTCTGAAAATTGATCTAGTTGCCCGACTGGTAAAGCAAAAGTTAAGAAAATCGGCCATATTGTTAGTCATATCGATCAATGGAGTGGTGCCAAAAATCAAGAACGCGGGCTACATTTGAGAGGTACAGTATCCAGTATGGGTCTCCATTCTAATCATTGTTTAGAAGTTGAATGGAGAATGGAGAGTGTACATGAACTTCATGACCCTAAATAATAATTTCTCGAAGGACAGCTACCCTCTATCGAGGATTGACTCTCTTGTAGATTTAGCAATAAACCATTCTTTGATAAGCTTCCTGAACACTTTCACCGGCCATTATCTGATTAAGATGCATCTGGCCAAAGTAGACAAAATGACATTCACTATGAATAAATGAATGCACTGTTATGGGGTAATGTCCTTTGTGCTAAAGAACATTAGGCTACTTACCAGCGTCTAATTGATGTAATCTTTTCAACTCAAAAAGAAAAAAAAATATTAAAGTCTATGTAGATGATGTTTAAGTCAAAATTCGGTCAGCTGAACAACATATAACTTATCTAAAAGAAATATTACAAACGCTCAGAAAATATTCAATCAAACTAAATCAACAAAAATGTATGTTTGGTGCTTTTGCCGACAAACATCTAAGATACCTCCGACGCTCGAAGGTTTAAAAACTAATTTGGAAAGTACAAGCGTTGTTGAATATGCTCTCTCCATGGAACACTAAGGAGGTGCAAAAGCTAGTCAGCTGGATAACGTTGCTTAGTCGGTTCATTTTGATTTAAGACAAGCCTCACCACTGCTAACTATAATACCCAAAACCAAAGGAAGAACTCTCTATTTTTGGGAGACAGGCCCAAAGTCAACAGATCAATCTTTGTTCGGAAGGAGGCATGAAGGTAATTCCTAATATTTAAACTAGTTGGGTTCTTAAGGGCACTGAGGTCAGGTACCCTATCATGAAAAAGTTAATATTTGTTCTAATTGTCTCTACTCACAGGCTCCAACCATATTTATAGATGCATCCAATCAAGTTCATTATTGATCACCATCTCAAATATGTGCTCACTAGGCCAAAACATTCTAGTCAACTCATGATGTGGACTGTAGAGCTCAGTGAATCGATAACACATACATTCCCTGAATTGTGATTAAAGCTCAAGTTATAGCAAAACTTATAGTAGATTTTTCCAAAAAATGTCCAACCAAGCGAAGAATCTATAACAAGCAACCAAATCTAGACTTGTACATCTATGAAGCCTCAAGTTAGGTGACAACAGGATTCAGACTAAAATTGAGTATTTGGAAAAGAGAGCATCTCTACCATTTAGTCGTTCTCAGGTTCTAAGTCACCAACAATTATGTGAAGTATGAAGCACTAATAGCCAACCCTCATCTAGCTTACGTAATGGTCGTTCTACATCTTTTATAGAAATTACATTCATAACTAGTAGTAAATCATATTAATGGAGGATTCATGGTCAGAGACAAAATGTTGACAAAAAACTTGAATAAGGATAGGGTGGAGATATGGAAGTTTTCCAACTTTAGGATCGAGCATATCGATCTGGAAGAAAATAAAGCGGGCAGAATTTCTATCCAAGAGCATTTTCTTCGAGGAGGGGATACTCAAGAGGCATCTCTAGTTGACTATTGAAGA